TTCAGCTGGGTTTGGCCAGAAAAAAAATTATATTGTCAGAGGGAAGAAGGGTCTCAAATTCAAAATGAACAATCAAAGGAAACAAAGGAGAAAATTTACCCTACATCTATTCTGTTTCATTTCTGTTGAATCAGTATTTACTAATATATATTGCACGATTGATTAAGCTATCATCTAATTGCCTACTTAGTTTTACTATCTCTGTTGAGTGAATAGGAAAGCAGACAATTGGAGAGCTATAACACATTGGACAATTGTGCTTTAGAATACATACCTCTTCCACAGATATTTGTGATGGTTTCTGGCTCACTAACCATGACTTTGGCTGATCTTTTAAATGCTAGTCAGAAATTAGTTTTAGTATTTGGATGGGTAATGTTTGAAGATGAGGAAAAAAATAATCCAAGAAGACGCCAATAACTATGTGGTCTATGTTGTTACCAAGAGATTTTACTTTTTCTGTTTTAAGAGAGAAAGCCTTAATGACATGTGGTTAGGCAACCAGAGAACGCTCCATTTGACAGTTTACATAGGAAAGCTATATACTACTAGTATGTCATAATTAAAAAGTTATTTGGTGGCGGTGGGGCTAATGGGAATAAATTGCTTAGTTAGATCTACCGTGTCTCAGCTTTGGAAAATACAATCTTAAAATTACAACAAAAGTAATTTAGTATAGAAAATAATTATTTTCTGCCACTTAATGTGCATCTTGATTTTTGTGGTCAGATACAATGGTTTTCCCCCCTTTGGTTCAATCATGTCTGACTTTTGGAGACTACCTGGATAAGTCCTTACAGTTTTTTTGGAAGTTTTTTGCCATTGTCTCCTTCCCAGGGCTGAGAGAAAGTAACTAGCCCTGTGTCACACAGCTGGTTTTGTGTCTAAAGCAGGACTAGAACTCTGGTCTCCCAATTTCTAGCCTGGTGTCTTAACCATTGCACTAAACTGGAAAATATATATTAAAAAAGGAAGAAAGCTATGTAGTCTCCCCGCCCCCAGCATTTTCTCACAATTGCAGGGTCCTTTTTCTTCAGATTGTGAAAAAAAAATCCCATTGAGTTAGTTGCAACAGGAATTAAACAACCAGCTTGTCGCTCAAACCTATGTTAGTCTATAATGGCAAAAAAATTAGGACACATCTGTGAGCAGTTTTTCCAGGTACATATTTTAATAAAAGGCATTGGCTCTAAGGTTAAAGTGCACAGTATTCCTTTTAATCTATTTTATTTTTTAAAAAAAGTTGGAAAAGGTGTTCCCAGACTCCTCCTCATCTCTAGTTTATAATAACAGAAGTATTTCCCAATATTATCAATCATTTGGAAAATTCTATAGTAAGAATCCCCAGAAACTTGTCTAACATTTGCAAAAATAACTTTAACACTTCATGAAAAATAAGTTTAAAGGATCAATGATGACCGAAAATTATATATTTTTATCCTGTCTTTTTCATTTTATTGCCTTGACACAGAAGCAAAGATTTGTAGTTAAATTTTGAAGAAAAAAGAAGTTGGAAAAACCTTCCCCTGACACACCACCTTAGTATTTGATTTAACTGCAAAATAAGAGTTATTAGTATCTTAAACTGAAGGCATGGAATAGGCTGGTCAGTCGATCTGTCATTTCAACAGGTTTAGGACAAGTCAATTGACTCACCCAGAAAATAAAATTTATCTATCTAATCTCAGATGGGGAGGCTGTCTTTTTTTTTTTGGTACTGATGACCACACTTTGAAGCAATTTTTCTGGAGCTCAGCAAATTTAAGAACTGAGGACTTGGTAATTTTAAGAAGTGTGAATGACCTCTTAAAATGGCCAACATTTAACATTATCAGCAGCATATAAAGAAAATATATACAAAATGTTTTATAAATGAGGGGGACTTCTGGTTTGAGCTTCTTCGGCGACAGACCGAAACCTTGTCTCTGCGAGGCTTCAATCCATGCTCACCGCTGGAGCGCCCCGAGCCAGCTGGTTTCGGGGCTAAGCCACCCCGTAGAGATGGTGAAGAAGGGGGAGACTGCCTGCAGGGTTGAGGAGAGCCGCATCTCTCCTCCCCAGCTGGCCATTACTTCCTTTCCCGAAGGCGGTTGTAGCGGTGGTCAGAAATGGCCACCACAAAGAAGAACTAATCTGGGGGGGGGAGGAAAAGGGGGAAAGAGAATGGAAAGTTTAAGATTGGGAAAAACAACTCAAAAAATAAAATGAAATGAAAAATAAGTATAAAATCAGAAAGCAACAGAAGAGGGAAATGCAGAAGAGAGAATTAGAAGTAGAGAGACAAGGGGGTAAAAAGGGGAGGGAGAAGATGAGAGGGAAGAAAGAAAGGAAAAGAAGTTATAAAGGACAGAAGCAAAATATAGAGAAACAGGGCCTATTTAGAGATAATGGGTGAAGGACAAGGGGATTCTGCAAAGGTACATTAGATAGTATTGTTATATTAGAAACAGAAATAATTTTAGAAAATATGAAACAATGTATGATGAAAATGTTTGATAAAATAGCTATTGTAATTCAGTGGAATGCTTGTCAATAAACAAATGTAACAAAATGAATATTTAATGATTTACAAAACATATGTTGAAGAGAAATAAGGGAAAAATTAATTATGGAGATTATATGTGTCTTTAAGGAAGTATGACATTTAATTGAAAAGAAGTATTAAAGATGTTAAGATTTTAATGATTATTAATGATAGAACTGAATTGGAATGGAATGAGGGTTTATAATTACATATATTTATAATCTTTTTTTTTTAAAGAATATAGTGTGTATTATAAGAAGGTACCAAGCAGAATTCGATTGGAAGTTATGTATTATATTGAAGGTCATAACCTTAAGGTATATATTGAAGTTTAAATAAGAGTTGAATGGATGTAATTAAAAGATATAAAGGTGTCACACTCCAATTAGTAACTACAGGAGAAAATTTGTTTAATGAGAAAAGATAATATGAAATTGAAACAGAACAGACAAAAGTATAAATATAATGATTTGAATTGAGATGAGATAATCAAAATAAAATTGCGAAAATTAAAAGAGGGGAAAAACTATATAGAAAATGTAGAATAGTATAAGATATGGAATAGAACACAAAAAGGAGCATGAAATTGAGTTTTGTGTCTGTATAAAGAAGTTCAACCCGGGACCATGCTATTTTCAAAAAAGATGTTTTACTTGTATTTTGTATGCGTGAAAATCCAAATAAAACTTTATTTTAAAAAATGTTTTATAAATGGCATTTACCCCCTGCTAGATTGGCAAAGATGTTCCGAGCCAGGAGCCCAAAATGCTGGAAATGTAAAAGTAAACAGGGCACCTTTTTCCTTATGTGATGGATAAGTTCTGAAGCCAAAAGTTATTGGAGCAGAATCCAAAAGTGAGTAGAGGAAATAGTGAAAGAAAAAAATTGAATTCACATCGGAACTGTTTTTATTGGGAATAATAAAACTTCAAAATGATGCTATAGAGCACTTCACACTAGAACAACTAGACACAGGGACACACAATCTGCAAAACAAATAATTCCCTCAACATGTCCAACTATTTACAAAGTCTGCACTACTATTACTATTAATCTTCTCATCACTCCTTATCACCCATCCCCTCCCACTTGTGACTGTATCCTTACGATTTATATTCACTGTTTCCTAGTATGATTTGATTGCTTATTGTACCCTATGACTATCATTAAATGTTGTACCTGATGATTCTTGATTCTTGACAAATGTATCTTTTCTTTTACGCACACTGAGAGCATTTGCACCAAGACAAATTCCTTGTGAGTTGACCAATAAAGAATTATATCTAAGGGGAGATTATGCTAAGACAGACAAATATATCATTTTACATATAACAACTGCGGCCAGAATTGTGTACCACAATACTGAAAATAGGATAATATACCATCTGAGAGGACAGTGATAAGAAAGATTTTGAACTGCGGGGAGATGGACAGGCTGACCTTAGAGTTAAAAGATAGAAGTGAAACGGAGTATTATCTGGTCTGGGATGCCTGGTGTATCTGGTTAGACAATAGACACAAAAGTAACACAGTAACTAATATATGAATATGAATGTTGATCATGCTGTAACGTTGTTGAAAGTGTTAATATGTTATAAATTATTAGGAAATATTTAATAAAAAGTATTTAAAAAATAAAAAAATAAAATGGCCAAGGATGAGAAACAGTGCTGTTAGAGAAAGATCAGGTAATTTCTGGATTATCTATTGTTGTGTGGTGGCTATCAGAGTTATCTCCTACCGATCCACGAATCTACAGAAAATTTAATGCAGCAGAATTCTGGTTCATTTTCAGCTTAACTTTTTGTAAAACAGGGCTGTTTGCATCAGCCTAGTGGCATGGTATTTGTTTTTTTAAAAAAACATTCCTAAAAAATTATGGACTTCAACTCCCAGAATCCCTCAGCAGACTGAAGTCTTCTGGATAAAGACTGCAGTCCTGGCAACAAGATATTGGATAGAATTCTTTATTGGCCAAGTGAATTTGTCTTGGTGCAAATGCTCTCAGTGTATCTATATCAAGATTATAGGAAACTATCCAGTTCCTCCATCTGAATCGAACGTGAAAATTCAAACAATGTTGAAGTTTCTCATCTTTGGGGCAAGAGCTCTCTTCATATTGATTATCTCATTTTGGCAGTGTTTTGGGGAGTTGCAAAGCATTTGCGTTTTATTTCCTAGATTAAAATCAGTGCCGCACGGAGTTGGTTTCTTTTTCTTTTCTTTTTTTAAGTTAGCTGAAAAAAAATACTTTAAAAAAAATGACTAGAGGGAGGAATCAAAAGCCGAGATCGGCGAAGGGAAAGCTAGAAAGGGTTGCCAGTAGCAACAATCCTGCGCTAAGGGCCATCGGTGCTCGATTGCCGGGGCTCCTTATCCCCCCACTTTTGCCATTGCTTCCGATCGGTGGAAAAGCCGTGGCGTTCAATCTATTTCTCGGGACTCGATTAGCTATGCCCGCTCCCAACGCGGAGAGTTATTTTTCTCGGAGGCAAGATGGCCGCGTCAGTGGCTGGGGCTGCCCCACTGGGCAAGGGGTTGGACATCAGCTTGGCGGCTCTCCAGCGGCACGACCCCTACATCAGCAGCATCTTGGACGTGGCCAGCCAGGTGGCGCTCTACACTTTCGGGCATCGCGCCAATGAGTGGGTGCGTGAGCGAAGCGCAATCCCGGGACGGTGGTGGGGAAAGTGTAAGAAAGACGGAATAAAGTGTAGCTGTCGTTCCCGTACCGTAAACTCCATAGTATAGGAGCGGAAGGAGGAGGAGTCTTTCAAGGCTTTACGTGGCAACCACTCCAGCGGGGGGTCCCGTAAACCCTCTAAACGATTTCCCCTTCGCTTTTAAACTCGAGCTCATTTTCTCCTCAAATTTGACTCGCTTTATATTTGGGGCGGAGATCGTTAACGATCATTGCCCTTTTACCGAAATGGCTAAAAGGAGGGAGCCTTCTTCCAATTTAATCCCGTTTTATTTGTAAGAGAGGTTAAGATCTCGCCTCACAACCACAGAGGGCTGTGAGTTCGAGCCTAGGTAGAGGCTAATATTTGGAATAGGCTGTGCTTGTCCTGCTCGAGTGGGGGGAGGGGGGTTGGACTAGATGACCTCGAAGGGTCCCTTCCAACTCTGTTATTTCTATGAGATCTGACTGTTTCTTTGCTGCCTGGGCTTATTTCAAAAGAGGCATTATCAGCACAAGGTCTAAATGAAGCACACATGTCAATTTGGCTTGCAGAAACCCCTTTCTTGCATCAGGGAGCACTTTCTGCTAATGAACTCTAGGGATCTGCCAGCAGAACTACCCTGGCAGCCAAGATAAGCAGAGAGGAGTGGAGGGGGGAGCAGCCTGCCAGTGGAGGAGCAGCCAAAGTTGCATGCCATGGTCAACTTCCCATTCAAAATAGACATAGCCACCATCTAATACCAAGTTTAAAAAAGTCTTGAGGATAGATTTAATGAGTTTCAAGAATAATTAATAATAAGGATGATCCGAAAATCAGTGTCCTAAATCCCCCGCTTCCATCTCCTCAATAATATAAGATTATGGTGCAGAACAACCCTAGCCAGCCTGTTTTTAGTGCACTCGGCCTTCAGTCACCCAGTATTGGACTGTCCAAATAAATACATTGAGGTTAATAACTGATGGTTGGGATAGGTGCTTTTCAGCTGGCAAGGAGGGGAGTGCCTGTAAGGGAGCTCCTGATGGCAAAAAAAGTTTTTTTTCACTGTGCATCCTCAGTAATGAGCTTTGGGCTAGATGGGAGCCCCAGAGAATTTCAGATTTGAAGGCTGGCCTGGAAAGTAAACAAATCCCTATTATGGAAGTTTTTAAAAAATTTTTAATTGATTATGTGCCATCAAGTCATTGTTGACGCTTAGCATCCAAGACTAGATGTTCTCCATGATGAATCCTGGAAGAAATACTTGCATAATGGTGCCAAGAAAACCGCATGGGTGTGCCTGCATAATTAGTGGGAGCTGAACCTGACTTTATTTTATTCTGCCTGTGTTATTTAATATTTAAATCAAGGCAGAGAACATTTATCCCTGTGGGGTGGGGTGGATTGAGAGAGAGAATGACTAGCCCAAGATTACCCAATTGGCTTTCATACCTAAGGCAGGACTGGTACTCACAGTCTCCTGGTTTATAGCCTGGTGCCTTTACCACTAGACCAAACTGACTCCACCAGGAATAAGCCAAAAGCTTTGGCTTCAGATTGTTGCCTATTTCCAAGGGAGAAATTATAAATGTGTTTCTTAGATCAAACCTGGGCATTTTACAGCCATATCCGGCCCTTTGGCTGCCCCTCTCTGGCCCATGTGAGGTCAGTTGGAAATCAAATGCAAATAAGTGTACATCATACACATAATACATCTACATTGGTTTTATTTTAAATGTGACTTCTTTTTCCCCCCAATTACATATTGCGTGTGTGTCTATCTTCATAGCCTTATGTTTTGACTTTTCATAACAGTCACAGTTTCTCATGTAGACTCTTAAGAAAATCAATTGTCCACCCCTGTGCTAGGTAGAATACACTGGCCTGTCCTTCCACAGACATTGGCAGGATATAGTGCTTTATCAAAAGAATGAAATCAACACCATCTTTTTGCAATGTAAGTACCACCTTTTTTGTCTGAACTGTGCAACATCATGAAGACAAAAGGGACAAAGTTTGTGGGTTATGGCACAACATGACTTTTGACATTTGTGTCCCCTTTCCGCCCCTTCCAGCTGGGTGTGGAATAATCTTGTTTCCAGGCATCCCACTCAGAAGGGTTTAGTTCTAAATTGGAATTAGTTGCTTCTCTCACCCTTTCCTTTAAAAAAAAATTACTTGCAGCCAATTTACTTAACCAGGAAAAACTAATTTCTATTTCACACACCCCTCCCCATTCAGTCATATCTGATTCTCAGAGACTGCCTGCACAAGTCCCTGCAGTTTTCTTGGCAGCATTTTCAGAAGTGGTTTGCCATTGTCTTCTTCCTAGGCTGAGAGAGAGTGACTGGCATAAGGTCACCCAGACGGCTTTGATTAGTTTCCACTCATTGCTTCTTGTCCTGCCCTCAGGTGCTTTGGAGAATTTTGGAGAAGTCGTATTTTTTTTTTGAAAAATACGACTTCAGCAATAGAGTGGTCAATGTCTGGAATACTCTACCCGACTCTGTAGTTTCTTCCCCAAACCCCAAAAACTTTAACCTTAGACTGTCTACTATTGACCTCACCCCTTTCCTAAGAGGCCTGTAGGGGGCGTGCATAAGCGCACCAACGTGCCTACCGTCCCTGTCCTATTGTTTCTCTTATTTTATTTTTCTTATATGTACCCATTTCATGTATTCACAACTATGTATACATTTATACTTATTATCTTGTAAACAATTGGCAAATCAAATAAATAAATAAATAAATAAATAAATAGAATAGCTTGACTCCCTCTTCTTTGTGAAAACCCCTGAGATATTGGAACACTGCTATCATGCCACCCTTAGACCTTCTTTTTATTAAACTAGACATACCCAGTTCCTGCAACTGTTCTTCATATGTTTTAGCCTCTAGTCCCCTAATCATCTTTGTTGCTCTTCTCTGCATTCTTTCTAGCATCTCAACATCTTTGTTTATATCGTGGCAACCAATTTTTCAGGATAATGGTAACGCCAAATTAAGACTAAACTCTTGTTATATATGGCAGCAGTCCCCAATCTTTCTGGCCCAGCAGACTGGTGGTAGGTATGTGGGGAGAGGGTATAGTTTTACATGCTAGTGCTTGCCTGGTTCTTGTGTGGCCCGGTTATCAATGGACCATGGACCAGTTCTGGGCCACGGACCAGGGATTGGGGACCCTGGTATAGGATATATAAAATTTTTGATAGCCACACTAATTCTTTTACCCTGCTAATGCTTTCTACTTGGCTCTGCATAATCTTTTTACTTTTTTGTGTTGACAGCTATTATGTGAAGCTTTATTAAAGCCTTTTTTTAATAACTGTCCAGACATATTTATACCCAGGAAAATGGATTTCTGTCTCTTTGTTAATATATTTCTGTGATCGGGTATCCTCCATGCTTTCAGAAATATGGTTTGTCAATACAAGCACAACTACATTGCATATAAATTTGTTTTAAATTTAAAATATGGGATATCGGTCAATTGTATATTTTATTGCAAAAATTGTTAGTCATATCACTTTTCTGATGCATTTTAAAATCAGATGGATAACAAATGTCTTGTCATGATTTATAGGGCAATGATAAAGCTTACCCCATGGGAATTCCTTACAGGCTCCAGGTGTTATATTTGGTAATGAAAGCATTTTTAGGAATTGTTAGTGTTTCCTGTTGTTTTCTAGAGTATAGAGAGTCTTAATACAGGACATTTACCACAAATATTATAATTCAGTAAAATTCTCAAAATATAGAGAAATGGCTGCTATCACAAAATAATTAAAAATTGTCCTTAATGTTCCCTAGTGAAGGAACTGTTTCATTTTAGGAGCATTTACTCAACAGACAAGTTTTAAGATTGTGAACTACTGGGGAAGAAAGTATACTGTATGTTTTGACGTACATTAATGTGCTAAAAAGGCAGCGGTATCACTTAAAAATGTAAAAACATACATTACTTGTCTCTACAAAATGTACTTTTTAATAGCTTGATGGCACATTTGCACATCGGTCAAACAACTAACCAATTTTAATTTGATTTTAGGAGAAGACCGATGTGGAAGGAACACTATTCGTGTGTACAAGGTGAGAGACCGTTAAAATATTTTCTTCTGATTAAAGTTTAAAGTTGTTAAGTCATTGCATTATCAAAGCAGAAGAGAAAGAGCAAAAAAATTAATTGTTTGAATCAGGTGTTGCACATTTCAAAATGTTATTTTCCCCTGGTGCAGTTATCAAAACACCAAATAAAATATCCTCACTTGGGTCTTAATAGGATGATACAATATTTAAAATAACCTGCTCAGCAAATTTATTATATACCTTGGGACGAAATCCTTCACTGTGTTTCCTTTTAGAAAAATAGTATCGTTGAAAGAATAGGTTTTCTTCCTAGCATTATGTAGCAGGCAGTGGAAGATTATATTTGTGTGGCTTTTTGGTGCAAATCTCTGCTGTGTTTAAGGGCCCTGCCAGAGGGCCCCTACTAACAATCTAATCTTCCCTGGCAATCTTTTGATGCCATCATTCATGAGAATAATCTCTTTCCTCCTCTGAAGTCAGAACTCTGCCTCCAGGCATGGAATGGGATAGTTAAGATTTCCAGAACTGGCTGCAAAAATCGGGGCAGCAGGAAATTAATTTTCCGTGTTCCTTTGCTGCCATCTAGTGGTCATCCAGAGAGTTACAGCCTATAGTTGATATTCAAGGGGAAATTGCTTCTGAGATCATGCTACAAGTTACAACAGTTCACTTAGTGACTGTCCAAAGTTACAACGCCACTGAAAAAAGTGACATATGACTATCTTTCACACTTAACGACTGTTGCATGGTCACGTGATCAAAATTCAGAAGCTTTGGCAACCGACTCATATTTATGATGTTTGCAGCGTCCTGGGGGTCATATGAGCATCTTTTGCCACCTTCTGACGATCAAGGTCAATGGGGAAACTAGAGTCACCTAACAACCGTGTCACTAACTGAAGAACTGCAGTGATTCACTTAACAACTACAGCAAGAAAGTTCGTAAAATGGGGCAAGATTCACTGAACAAGTGTCTCACTTAGCAACAGAAACGTTGGGCTCAATTATGGTCCTAAGTGGAGGACCACCTGTATTTATACCCTTCACTTCAGTGGGCAGTTTGGGGCTCCTTAAGCACAAACTCTCCTCCCCCTCTGTAGAACTCCTCTTTACTTTGATCCAATTCTCATTTTTCATTTCCTGTATTTATTTATTTAAAACATGTATGTAGCTGCACATTTTATAATAAGCCGGCTGAGCGGTTCCCATTCAAAAATTAAAGGTTTGGGTTTTTTTGGCAATGAATACCCAGTGTGAGTGGCCTGGCAAAAGGTACTGCACCCCATATATGAAAACTGTGACGTTTCTCTCCCCCCCCCCCCCCCCCAAAAAATATGTGATCCGCTTAAAGCACTCTTGTAAGAAAATGTTCACAATAAGCTGAATTGATCTAGAGTGGCAATGTGGAAAAGCCAGGAACCTGTGACCAAATTGTTTTTATTCGCTGACCTTATCTCAGATAACAGATAATCAGAGTTGGAAGGGACCTTGTAGGTCATCTAGTCCAACCCCTGCCCAAGCGGGAGACCCTACACCATTTCTGACAGATGGCAGTCCAATCTCTTCTTGAAAGTCTCAAGTGATAGCGCTCCCACAACTTCCGAGGGCAAGCTGTTCCATTGGTTGATTGTTCTCACTGTCAGAAAGTTTCTCCTTATTTCCAGGTTAAATCTCTCCTTGTTCAGTTTCCATCCAATTATTCCTTGTCTGGCCTTCAGGTGCCTTGGAAAATAGATTGACCCCCTCCTCTCTGTGGCAGCCCCTCAAATATTGGAAGACTGCTATCATGTCTTCCCCGGTCCTTCTCTTCACTAGACTAGCCATGCCCAGTTCCTGTAACTGTTCTTCATATGTTTTAATCTCAAAAGATAGTCCAGCTAGCATACTGAAGGAATAAGTCATAATAAGGAAAGTAATAACGAAATCTGTCACTGTGTACATGCACTGTATACATGCTATACTTTCTCCATAACGTAATATGAATTCCACAGTAAATGTTAATGAACATTTATTCTGGAGGTGTTTTTTTAAAAAAATTCTGGTTTGACCAATCATACTTTCTCTTGCCATCTCCTCCCTGCCCCACCCTAAACATAATCCACTTCCTTTTAAACTAAATATCTGTACATCTCATTTTAAAATTACTGCTTGTAAGGGCTCTTTAATTTTTATGTATATAAAGGGAAGTGGAAATATTACAATCAACAAATAGCAAAGGTGACATTTTGTTTTTATCAGAATATAGATTATGTAACTGAGCATCGATTGCAAGTCACTAGGAATTTTGGGATTGCAGTGGTTAATAATCGAAGGAAGGAATGACACCAAATGCTTTAAGAGTATCTGAATTTGGTTTCTCGGCAGTATCAGCCTGGAGCTTATTTAGCCTGAAGCGAGGGGCCATTTTAAATCCAATAAATAAAATAAAATGATCCCCATCCTGTTTGCTTTGCTTATGAAGTATTCACAAACAAATGTTTGTAAAATTCACACATTTTTTTTTCTTGAAAAATAACTGGTCCGATGTGTTAAAAATAGAAGGCATGGTGATGACAGATTGTATTTTGCAGCTGTGGCTATTTGGATAATTAAACTGGATTAGAGATTGCTGTTGCTAAAATTGAGGGGCAAACAAATGTGATTTAAAATATTAGAAGTTATCCTATTGGAGGTGACAATTAAACAAAGTGAACAATCTGCAGATAGGACGATGCCTTGATTGTCATTGTGTTTAGTTTCTTTCAGTTCCATTTTTTCCCCGTTTTTGTTGTTGTTGCCTTGTTTCATGTATTGTACATTCCGTCTCCTGGCTCAAAATGTCCTTTGGGACTCTCAACTTGAAACACTTCCCAGATTTATTCAGATTCTTTTCAGCAGTATTAAATTTGGGTTCATATTAAAATGTCCCACTAGTTTCAATTGCTGTGTGCTGAAAATGTATAGGGAGGAAAGGAGAAATGGTGACAAAGCAGCTATAGAATAAATTTCTTCTGTATCAGCTTTGTATTATCATAATAGGGCAATTGGCCTGCAATTCCTATAAGCCTTGATAAGAAATAAGGCTTATTCTAAGTAAAAGCCATAGCTTTATGTTTTATATGGGGAGAATCGAATAAACTGGAAGGAGGCTTCAAGACTGTAAAAAATAAATCTGGGGACAATGCAACATTCCACTGTTTGTATAACTAGTTATTACTCTGCAAACCCTAGGATTGTGTGCTCTTTCAGCGTATGCCATTAATAATTATATAAGTATAAAACAACAATTAGGTCAATTTAAAATAAAATAAAATAAAATACCGTACATTAAAGAAACTACTTTCTGAACAATGATTCAGTGATGATATAAAATCTTGAAATGGTTAGGAAATTTCTTGATTCTAATGAGGGACCTCTGTTGGATGGGTCAAAAGAATCAAGATAGTGCCTTGATGATTTGTGATTATATGACAAATGTAAAAAAAAAAGGTGGAACTTTAATCATAAGGAAATGTCCAACAATATATATATATATATTAATCTCTAGCAGACCTCTGGAAAAGAAAGAGTTATAATCCTCGTTAGTATTCACAGCCCACAGATAAGAGATTCCGTCATCATTATTCTTGAATTTTGGGGTGACGGTTAATTTCATAGATGGGGCTTTTATGCAGCAGTTAAGCTTTCACGTACAGCAAGGCTACCAAACTCAATTTCATTGAGGGCCACATCAGGGTTGTGTTTGACCTTGGTTGGGGGGGGGCATGGCCAGGGTAGGTGTGGCCAGCATGGCATGACTTGTGTTGGGGGACCCCTGTGGTGGCCTGAGCACTCTGCAAGTGAAAACAGGCTCTGCCAGTGGACCACAACATTGCTGGGCCACCTTCAGAAAGCCCATGTTTTCACGAAGTTGGACTTGAGAGCAGCTTGCAATTCAATTTGAATGAAGGAGGAGCATGAATATTTAACAGTCTTTGACCCTTCTTACAGGCAAGTTTGAGTTGCCCTACTGTCTTTTCCAAATTCATGAATGAGATATTCTGGACAAATATGTATAGTTTACTCGGATGACATTTTGATTTATTCAGAGGATCATTGCATCTGCTCGTGTCAGGAATATGTTAAAGCATCTATGCAAATACAGGCTCTGTGCCAAGTTGGAAAGTGGCAGCTGATCTACCAGCATAGGACGCAAAGAGTGCAGATGGATCCGGCCAAGGGGCAACCCATTCTTACACAGCAGAGACCTAGAAATGTTAAGCAATGTCCATCTTCAGGGGGTTTGCCAACTTTTATAAGTGCTTCTTTCCAGATTTTGCTAAGTGTACAAGATGACCAAGTCAGCTTTTGAAAAAAGATGGCAGTTTTAAGTCTATCTACGCAAGAAGAAGCTTTCCATGGCTGGAAGCTTCACTTGTCCTCCCAGCCTCTGCTCCACCATTCAGATCTCAGCTGGTCCTTTCCTGTGCCTAGTGATGCCTTGAATTCTTCTTTGAGCTATGGCTGCACTTTAGCCAAGATGTCTCCTCCTGATTGAGTGGAACTGTGATCATAAGAATTTGGAACATTACAAATTCCGAAAGCTCAGAGCCTCAGGAGGTGGCAGACAGTGAATCTTTTCAATCAGATTGACTTTCGACAAGAGGATCTTGTATGTCAGAGTTCCAACAGATGGCTTCCATAGAACCACGCAGATTGATTCTCCTTTTTTCTGTGGCTGAAGAACTTTTTCACAGTGGTCATTTTTATGTTGCTCTTCCTCTCTGGGAAGAGGTGTTACGATTTAGCCATGATAATATGTACAGAAATAACCTTGAAGAAGGAATGCAAGGGCAGTAAAGCTCCCAGGAGCTCTGTGTTCAGTCCTGAAAGTAAGAATGAGAAAGAAACTCAGGTGGGATCATCTTGAGTTTCTTCCTCATCCCCTGTTCTTCTTTCTCAGAATTGAGCGGATGTTTTACTTAAGTGGTCCTGCATTACTTCTTCATGGTTATCTCTATACTCTGTACAATAAAAATGCAAGGCGTGGGGCTGTTTTTGAGTTATTGTATCTTAGGTTAGAGACAGATTTCTTCATGTCATATCTGTCATAGAATTGAGGATGTCTCTGCTAAGCCTACCAGTTTACTCCAGCTATTACGTTCCACCATTGGACTCTAGGATACAATTTCCCTGGACTTTATTATTGATTTCCCTGATGTGCAGAGTTTTTGTGACCATTCTACTGATAGTGGATCAGTTTAGAAAGGTGGCTCGTTTTATTAGTTCTAAAGAGCTACCAACTGCTCTGGAAAATGCCTAGCTGTTTCTAGGCCACGTTTTCAGGGGCTTAGTCAATTGTGTGACCTCATCTTATGGCTCTCAATTTACATCTCAATTCTGCAAAGACCTTTTTCAATTACCGGACATTAATATTCATCTGTCATCGGCACATTACCAAGAATTGAATGGGAACATCGTGCAGAATAATGCAATATTAAAACAATATTTGTATTGCTAAATATCCTATCCATAGAACAGCTGGACAGACTTGTTGCCATTTGCAATATTTGCATATAGCAACTCTGCATTCCTCTACTGCCGTGGCTCCTTCCAAGCAAATTGTGGCTTTTCAGTTGTGGTTTATCCGCCAGTTTCCTGCCTCACTTCTTTGAACTTCTGATTTCCCAAAGGAAAAGACACAGCACAGCTCATCTCAAGGGAGCAGCTGCCTTTGGATAAGGACAGGCAATGCTTATAGGACACAGAACTACAAGTGGGGACTTCAATGGGACTGCTGTGTGGGATTTAGTATGGTTTTTTCCATTTCTCCCATCAGTCCAAAAAACTCGACCCAAAGTTTTCGGCCCCTCTTCCCCATGAGAGCTCAAATTGGCCTGGCAGGATTTCATTTACAATTGTCCACTATTGTGCAATACAGCATTTCAGATTTTAGACACAGAAGAGGATTTGAAATATTTAAATCACTGGAAGAGCTATCCTGACATAGAATGTTTGTGGGAAGTGGAGATGTACAGGTAGTCCTCACTTAATCATTTGTTCAGCAACAAAATTATGGTGTGTCAGCCTTCCCAGATAAGCCAGACAGGAAACATGGCCAACTCTGGGAAGCAAGCTGTTCCATTGATTAATTGCTCTTTGTTCTAAATTTCTCCTTAGTTCCAGGTAGAATCTCTCTGTAATGAGCTTCCGCTCATTGCCTCTGTCAACTCTGAAGTTGACCTGACCGAAGCCATTTTTGACCGCTTCAGTGTTGCCACACTGGAGCTGAGGGATAGGGAGGGGGATTTGAGATAGAAGGGATTTTGTAGGCAAAACAAAATATTTTCTCTTGGAAACCAAGGACATTCTCACACCTGGTCGGAGGAAGGCAGAGTGATGCTACTCGGCTGTCAGTCCACACCGTGATTGGACCATGTGACTGATTGTTTCGAGAAAGTAGGAAAACGTTTGCTTTTAATTAGGTGAAAACCGTGGGAGTTTTCAGAGTCGGTTTTCACCAGATATGAGCCAATATGATATTTCCAATACAGCTATTCTTTGAGGAATCTACTTGCCTTGGAGTTTTGCTTGCTAGGGATCTATTCCTTGGGACCCTTACTTGTCCTTCCCTCGAGTGCTATGGAGAATAAGTCAACCCCTTCATCTCTGTGATTGCCCATAAAGTATTGGTATTTGAGGCAATAGCTCTTCGTTAAAGTTAAACTTTTTGACAGAAGAAGAATTTCCTCAAACTCTCAAAAATTGCTAATTATAAAAATGTTGGTACTTGAAAATTTTTGAAAATATTTATCAAAGTATAATTGAATTATTTTTAGTAGATAGTTGATGGTCTCAATATTGGTCATTTTCAGATCAGCTTCGCCCAAGTATGGATTTACCATTATGAATAGGCTGAGCATGGAAAATCGGACAGAACCCATAACAAAAGATCTGGATTTCCAGTTGCAGGATCCTTTTCTACTCTACAGAAATGCTAAATGTGAGTAACTTACTTAACACATGAGCAAAATGAATTGTTATATAAAATGGCTTTCTTATACAGTGCTTCTAAACAATCTCATCTATTTAGAAAAACATGTTACAGTAGTTTATCAAGCAGTATATTTCAATACCTCGTAGAAGAGATTGTGAATAAAGAAAATTGTAAAGTTTTTCCCCCTTCTTAGGCTGCAGCTCTGCAGTTGTCTACATCCACATAATTTTTTTTGTTGTTGCAAACAACCATTAAGCAAGTATTTTAAATATTGCTAATAATTACACTGCATATTTCTATAGCTCTATAGCAAGGTCCAAAAATGGAATGCAAAGGAGATGTTCAAGCAAGTAGGCTCAGTTCTGTCAGTCAGTTCTCCTAAATACTGGATTAGATAGATAGAATGAATGAATTATTTATTGGCCAAGTGTGATTGGACACACAAGGAATTTGTCTTGGTACAAATGCTCAAACAATAGTAAAACTTAGGAGGATAAATTGTCCTGAGGAATGGCTGACTTGTGTTTATCTCCTTCTGATCATGAAAGCAATCATATCCAGGAAAGAATGGACTTGTAAAATAGATGTTAATAGTCTATACCAGCAGTGGCCAACCGGTGGGCCGTGGCCCACTGGTGGGCCGTGAGAAAATTTTGGTGGGCCGCAGAGAAATCTCACCCCCAGAGCACCCCCCCAAAGCAATTAATCCAGGCTGCGCAGAAACACAAGGCTGTGCCGCCCACATGGCCCACGGGAACCCTCCCCGCCCACTCACTCTTTACCCAGCAAACTTGCCTGCTAAGTTGCTATTTTTGCTTGTTTCGACCATCATCTGTTCTGCTGTGCTGGGAGATTTAGATTATTAGCTAGGAAGCAGGAAATGGTTGGATTTCTTGCTTTCTAGCTAATCTTTAGATCTTCGGCTCTGTTTTTAAGCACAGCCGAAGCTCCCTTAGGACTGAAGGTTCTATTATTCAGTGCAGACTCACGGCAAGCAAATTTGAGAGACTGAGCTAGCCGATGGCAGATAGATAGATCTCTGAATGAATCTGTGATTCTGTGAACAACTCAATCTGCCTGCCTGCTTTGCCTGATTTTGGGTAAAAGTTGCTCTTTTTTAATAAAAAAAATATCAATATTTATATAAATATTTCTTTTTACATACAAGCCATGCCCAGCCAGCCACATGACCACCAAGCCACACCCACAAATTAGGCTATGCCCACAGAACCAGTTAGTGGTCCCTGGGATTTAAAATTGTGAGTTTGGTGGTCCCTGAGGTTCAAAAGGTTGGCGACCCCTGGTCTGCACAGATTAGGAAAGCTGCTGTTAGAAAAGGCAGCTGGAAACCGGGCAAGGAGATACAGTAGTCCTCGACTTACGACCTCAATTGAGCCCAAAATTTCTGTTGCTAAGCGAGGCAGTTAAGTGAGTTTTGCCTTATTTTGCGACCTGTCTTGCCACACAGTTATTAAGTGAATCACTGAAGTTGTTAAGTTAGTAATACAGTTGTTAAATCAGGCTTTCCTGTTGACTTTGCTCGTCAGAAAGTCACAAAAGGTGTGATCACGTGGCTCCAAGGCACTGCAACCATCATAAATATGAACTGATTGCCAAGCATCCAAATGGCAATCTCTGACCATGGAATGCTGCAATGGTCGTAAATGTGAAAAATGATCATAAGTCACTTTTTTCAGTGCCTTTGTAACTTTGAACGGTCATTAAACAAATGACTTTAAGTCAAGGACATCCTGTATGTGCTTCAGTCTCTCCTGAAGATTCTCCCTCCCAAGGGTGTTTAAAAGACAAGTGGCACTGGAGCTCATTTTAGTAATACATGGAAAGCCTCCTGTTTTAAGGAATTTTATGGAAGAGGATCCCTAACCATTTTGAACGCAGTTTATAATGCCACTAGCTCGATACCCGTGCTTTACTATGAAACTATGTGGTCGGGCTTAGTTTTTGGGGAGAAAAATAAGGGGAGAAATTCTGCCTCTGCCTACCAGCATCCATTGGTATTCATCTGGCTAATGTCCTGTCAGTGTGTGAGAGAATTGAGGGCTGTTTGGAACTGAAACAGTATTTTCTTGCTCACACAGCTGAAACAGCTATGTAAGCAAGAAGGAGACAGCAAGGAGCCTGGGTGTGGCTTAGCTCAACTGTTGTGTACTAAAGCTGGTTGCTCCAGTGAAACTGAAACTGAAACTCCTCTCCTTTGCTTGTGTTTTGCATTTGGAACAGATTTCTTTTCAGGTGGGGAGGGGGAGTAGAACTTCTTAGCATCAGAGCGTGTTAATAATAGTATACGAAATACTAATGATCTGATGGTCATTTCAAAAAATCCTTTCTTAGTGAGCACCTAGAAGCCAAGAGGAACATATGTGCCAAATTTCAAGTTTGTAGGCTTTACGGTTCTGGAGATTTTGTGATGATGCATGAGAAGTATTTTGCTTTTATATACTGTATATAGAAGATTTGGCTGGCATATCAACTCTTGAAGAAGTTGAGAAAAATTACATTGTCTTCTAGATCAGGGGTCTCCAACCTTGGCAACTTTAAGACTTGCTGGCTGAGGAATTCTGGGAGTTGAAGTCCACAAGTCTTAAAGTTGCCAAGGTTGGAGACCCCTGTTCTAGATGACTAATGTTTCAATAGGATAAAATATATGTAGTGAGGATTGAATTGTGCAATACTTGGTGCAGCAAACATCCAAATAAGCAGGGATTAACACCAGGCAAACAATCCAGCAGAAAACAATACCTTCTTCAATGATCTACCCAAAAGAAAACCAAACAGCACCCCCACTGGCAGGGCAAGTTTAAAAACAGATAGCAAATCTGATGTTACTTAGTTGGGTAATGCAACATCTGCAAGCAAAGCTCAGAGAAAACCAAGGACTTTACAAATATGTTTTTCTTCACAGATTTTCCACCCTTAAATATATATTAAGTAAAATATATTTAAGACGGCTGGTCCCTCATCCAAGTAATAACACTTCTAGATTTTCAAGATCAGTCAAGGTCATACTGCTATCCTAGCTGGGTCAAATAAAACAAAAATATGGTAATTAAGGGCTTTTTGTTGTATTTTCTCATGTTATGAAAGAACTGCATATATAGACAAAGGGCTTGACAGATATCTCAGTTTAATATGCTAAGATGTAATCTTCTGAAAGCAATCTTGTTTACCTTTATTGTTAATTACTTAGAATATATTGTTTGCTGTTTTCCTTCAGTGAATACTTTCCCTATTCCAATTCAAAATGTTTATTTAAAAACAGCTTCATTTCATCTGTAAGTATAAATAAACTCAATAATAGCTGTTTTCTTGGTCTAGCTAACTGTAGCTGGGAAGCAAAATTATTGCTTACTGTAAGAAAATTGCCTTTTTATGACCTGTTATTAAATTGGCTAGTACTTAAATTCTATGAACTATATTTCTGTTATGCATAATTTTGACTAACAGTATGTCTGCATTTTAATGCTGGCTAACTAGTTCTTCATATGATAAAATGAGAATGTGATATTTTAAATAAAATTTTAGAAATAAGTAATTTTAAAAAGTAGGTGGATTATTCATTGGAAATATGTGATATAAATTAAGAGTTGGCATTGCATAGACCTGGTGATTTTGGATTAAAACTCACCAATCACTGTTGGCTAAGCTAGTTAACTCTGGTGAGAATTGTAGTTTCTTGACATTTAGAGAGCATGCACTTGAGTGCATTATTATTAGATTTTTAATGGTTAGTTATGAATTCTAAGAGTTGAAGTCCACAACATCAAGATGTCATGGTTGAGAAATACTGTTTTAATGATTTGAAGAGAAGAGTTTAATTGATACGGGCTTTGCAAAGCACTTTTTAAAACACTTTGCAAAAATTAGTGGCTGCATCAAAATATTTGTGTAGCTTTGCAAAAACTCTGGTAATCAGTTGAACTTCTTCTGTACCATAAACCTGGATTTTAAGGAGAGGTGGATGTAACTCTATTCAGAACACACTCTATAGTTAATAATGTTTAGTCACAGGAACGCTGTGAAATTAGCTTGCCAGCAATATTTCTTTAGTTCTAAACATTACTTGGATTAGAGTTGTTTCAATAGTTGATCCAGCTGTTGCATTTTCAAATTAGTAGAAATGATTGATGGGTTCTTAAACAGCTGTCCTGCATATGCTGTTTTTTTCTTGCTCAGTTTTCTTATTCCATAGCAAGAGCTTGTTAACCACACATTTCTCCCAGAATCTTATTTCAAGTTGTGAAGTGTCACACAATAATAAAGTTCTCTGGTTGCAATCCACACAAAGTTTTTTGAATAGCAAAATGATAACCTTAGTGAATAATTGACCTGCATAAATGAGATGGTTTAGCAAGCCATCTCTAATACATTTCACTTAGATTTCAGATTGGGTTAACAAGTAACATTGATTTTAGGTGGGTATTATGAGAAGTAAATAGGTGGAATATACAATACTTTTTGCTGTCTTCCTTATATAAGTCTGAACAGCATTATGATAAAATAGTTAAGAGTGGAATATTTTCTAAGCAAAAGCTCAGAGGCTAAAAAATACAGAATTGTGTATGCTTTTCAACTGATCTTTCAAGGCACATACAGGTAGTCCTCAACTTATGACCACAAGTGAGCCCAAAAATATGTTGCTAAGTGAAACATTTTTAAGTTTTGCCCCGTTTTACAATCTTTCTTGCCACAGCTGTTAAGTGAATCATTGCAGTTGTTAAATTAGCGACACGGTTGTTAAGTGAATCTGGCTTCCCCATTGACTTTGCTTGTTGGAAGGTCACCAAGGCGGATCACATGGCCCTGCAAACATCATAACTATGCACCAGTTGTCAAGTGCTTAGGATTAAGGTGCCCGAATTTTAATCACGTGACCATGGGGATGCTGCAATGTGAAAAATGGTCATAAGTCACTTTCTTTTTAGTGCTGTTGTAATTTTGAATGGTCACTAAATGAATTGTTTTAAGTTGAGGACTACCTGTAGTAC